TCCATGGGACACGCCGCCTGCCACCAGATCCGTCCCCAGCACTAAGTCGCTTCCCAGCAGGGCCGGGGCTTCCCAGGCGAGGGGACAAAGAGCAGCTTCTCTGCCAGCAGGGAGCAGCTGCCGGGGCCGCCGGCACCGCGACCACCCAGCGCACGGGCAGGCCCCGCGCACGGCTCAGATGCACCCGGAGACCAGGCAGAATAAAAAAATGTGTCCGCAAAGGGCTCGATCCGGCGCCCCGCCGCTGCTGGCCCCCAGCTGCATGGGTATCTGCTTGCGCCACGCAGCCCGGCCACGATCTCCATCGCTCTCCTTGCACGGATCCGACGGGTCTGCGGGCAGCATCCTCCCTCCTCAGACACCATGCCTGTGATACCGATTTCCACACCGTTATTCCGGGGGAAGCTTTTTCCAGCCTCCGGAAGGTTTACTGGGCTGATAGTGACCCTCCCTCGTGCCCCAAGACCTCCCTTCTTCAGATGCCGCAGGGGGAGCGACTGTCTGAGCACGAACGAGACCCATCAGGCGCCCTCGCCGCGGCGGTCAGCCCCGCTCCTGGCCTTTCATTCCAAGCTACTCTTAATTTCCTGCTCTCTAACGTCTCCTCAGTAAGTGATGGAAAGGTGCGGGGAGGAACCGCTACCCTTTAATTGCTTTCCAGGTCTCCCACAACCAGAGCAGGGGTTATCTTCCCCCACGCTCCTCCTGCTCCCATCGCTGCACTGCATCAAATCACCCATCTCGTGCAAAGGCCCCCAGCTCCTCGCAGCCACCGCAGCCCGTTCCCAGCTCCCCTGGGCTCTACGGAGGCAGCGGGGACCTGTCCTGCCCTTCCTTTGGTTGCAAGAGGCTCCTGGGGCCAAGGTATTCCCGGTTTCTCAGGAGCCGTGGGCTTGCAGACACATCAGGTCCCACTGTCACCATCCAATGGCCATCGCCCTGCACCATCCCTCCACGGGGGCCTTGGGGACATCAGCAGGTGTTGGCACCACCGCTGCCAGTGCCAAGAAGCATCTCCCACCAAAGGACCCGGCAGCAAAGCCGGGACTGGGGGAGGAAGGAGCAGGGACCCCCTGTGGGTCCCTTTGTCGGAATTGCACGGAGCCCAGCAGGTCCCTCCGCACACCCTGTGCCCTGCTCGGGGACGTGAGGTGGCAATAGGAAACGCATGGTGCCAGCGCGGGGGGCTGCAAGGCTGCTGCCAGGGCAGGAAGCGGTGGGCACCACGGTGCAAGGGGCACACGGCCGGGCGGGTGGCACTGCAAGGCAGGGGGGGACACTGCGAGGCGAGGGGGGACATTGTAAGGCGAGGGGGAAACGGCAAGGCGAGGGGGACACTGCAAGGAAGGGGTAAATCCCAGGCGAGGAGGAACTTTCTGGGCATGGAAGGCACT